TAGTATAGAGTCCTGTGTTTGCTTTCATCAGTGGCCTTTGAGGTGGCAAAAGCCTTTGAATGAGATCACTCTGTTTCAAACAACTCTTTGGAAAGGCTAGAGGAAAATACCCCTTTTCTGCCAGTGCCTGCACCCTGCCTCTCTGAAGGATGTTTTTGTCCTGCTGAGTGCAGCTATTAAATATCATGATAACGACACAAGGAGGCTTAAGTCTGATTCATTTCTGGGTTGATTTAAAAATAGAAATTGTTTGAGTTGCTTTTACTATTTTACTCCAGTGGTTAAATACTAGCTAGAGAGAGACACTCACTGCTTTGGATATACCCAGTGCTGATATCTGAAAGAACTTTCATTCAGTCACATTCTGCACTTTCATTCAGCCATTAACGACTAACTGCCAGCCATGGGTTTGCATTCTAGAGATGCAGCAGGGAGCCTAGGACAAAGATCCCTTTGCTCAGGGAGGGGTAAGAGAATAAACGGTAGACAAGATGGTTTCAGATAACAAACATTGCCCCTGTGGTCACTCAGCACTCACCCCTTGCTGAGGCTGTCACTTCCCAGGAGGGCCGGAGCTGCTGATGTTAGTGGGAGCAGGTGTGTCCTGAGGACTTAGGCTCTGTTGAGCTCCAACAAGTGGTCTCCCAAGGGCTCTATCCTGGCTGAGAGCAGCTGCCCAGTGAGGGAGCTGAGATAAGGCCAGGGTCAGGTTGGGTGCCCTCAGCTGAAGGAATGGGGGAACGGGAGTTGCCCCACACACTTCCTAGTGAGCCATGGTCTGAACAGGTCCCTGACCCAGGATTTGTGTTCAGATGTAGAGCCAGACCAGGCCTTCTGTGAGGGGGCTCTTGGGTGGGACAGAGAAGGATGTCAGTATCCAAGCATTTGCTGTCCCCTTTCCTCCTCAGTCAGGGTGGGCGGGGGCTGCAGGGCTCAGGGCCCTCTTGGGCCATTGCTGGGCCAATTAGTAGGATGAGGTGCTTAGAACAGGCTCACAGAGCTGAAGCGCTGGGACACTTGTTGTGATGACCTCAGGCAAGTGATTAACCTCGAGTCTCAGTTTCCTCATCTGCCAACCTCCAGAGTAACTCAGAGATAACGTGAGATAACACAGTGCAGTGTTGCCTGGTATCTGGCACGGAGTCAGTAAGTTGTCCAATGTCATTAAGTTATGGAGACTGGTGGCTGGCCCTGTGGCCTGTGATGCACTGCCTTTTAGCTCCTCTGTGCTGGCCTGCTGTGTCTCCAGAGCAACAGACCACCAGGGCTGACTCTTTCATGCTTTAGGGGATCAGCACCTCCATGCTGGGCTGGGTGTGACAGGCGTGGAGCTTGGAGGGGTCAATGCCAGGGAAACTGGCCGGTCACCTGCCCTGGCTAAGAAGCTTATCCTGCCTACCCATTGCTCTGTACACATGTCCCACATTCAGATTTCCAAGAGTCTCTCTGCTGCTAAAAAAACTCACTATAGTCACTAGATCACATCCCTGCCTATGTTCAGAAGCTCCCTTCAGCCTGGAGGCGCCTTTCTCTCCAGGAGTCAGGCAGGCAGACTGATTCCAAAGGCCCTGCCAGCCACCCTTCTCTTCCCAGAGTCCTCTCACAGCTTTGGGCTTTCTGTCCTGACAACCAAACTTCTTAGTTGAACCCTTCCACTCAAAGCTTGCTTTTGGAAGGTTCCCTCTATGGTTAATGACCCAGTAGGCTGGAAGGGAATCAGTGGGCTGTTGTCAGAGCTACTGGAACAGTTCTGGACCAAGGAGGTAGCGGGTAGAAGGAATCTCCTTCCTGCCTGGGGAGAACGTGCACTGTGCTCCTGGGGTCCCCTTATCTTCCCTCTCACCCAGTCACTGAGGGTGAGAGGAGCCACAGAGGCTGGCCTGGGTCTAAACTCCAAAGCTGGTGCTGCTTGCTCAGAGAACAGTGGCCAGGATCCTAGCCTGATGTCCCCTCCTGGGACGAGGCTGGCTGCTGCGCCTGGTAGGAAAAGTGGGGCCCTGTGAAGTGGCCACAGATGCCCTCTGTATGAGCACTGTGCCTCCTTGTCAGGCGGGCTGGCCACACATCTGCACCCTGCATACAACGGCACTGTGTTCCTCCGCCAGCCTGGGAAGCAGTGGCCTTGAGTGGGCGATGGGGGCGGCTATCCCCGTGTCACCACATCTCACTGGTTCCCTGAGCCTCCCTTACTGCTTTGAAAAAAGTCTCCCACATTCTGGGGTGGATTGGTGGGGAGCAGCTTCCCTCATGGCCTGACATTTGGTGGGAGAGGTAAGTAACAGTCAAACAAGGAGTGCACTTTGCTGTCAGAGAAGTGTGCAGCTACAGAGATTTAAATAGGGTTGCAGTAGGAGGTGACAGACCCCAAGTGATGCCCTTCTGGGAGATGACTCAGTATAGTTTGGACCAACAAGGAAGGAAAAGCCCTGTGCCATGGGCCAGGAGGTAGGCGTGCTTGACCTTGGCACAGCTGAGCAGTGCTCCCGTCCTCCCCTAGCTGGGCCCCAGCCAACCCATCCCTGTAGGCTGTGTCTCCACTGCTGCTCTCCAGCTGCAGGCCCCAAGGAGAAAGGGGGCCTCCAGGAGGGAGAGGAGTTTGTGTGCAGCCCCCTCTTGGGGTCTGCCCTGGCTCAGTCTGCAGCCAGCCACCTGGGCCTGCTCAGGGACTCAGAGAACAGGTGCTCTGCTCCTACCTGGAATCTTCTGGACCAGGCCGAACCAGCTGGCAATTGTTATAGGAGACAGCTCAGGTATGGGGCAGCTGGACAACCGGTTTACATACCCTGGAGACAGATGCTTCTGCTTAGCTACTGCTTGCTGCCAGCAGCTGCTGGGGGGCAGCCCTAGCCCAGGTGCTGTGCCACATGTGCAGGGAAGAGGTGACTGGGCAGTTAGAGGGCAGTGGGGCCAGCTAGACCTGGCTCTGCCCTGCTAGCTGTACAGACAAGCATGCTGACCTCTGTCTATTTCCTCACTGGGAAGGTGGGCTCAGCCACTTCATGGGTCTGTTGCTGAGAGGTGTGTTGTCTGTGCCTGGCACAGGAGGCTGGGTTGTGAGGCTGTGGCCACTGCATGCAGAGGCCCTGCAGGGGGTTGCCCTGTGGGGGTGGGGGTGGTATCCTAGCTTCTCCTGAGGCTGCTCAGTGACACTTGGTGAAGTGTGTCTTCTCGGGGAGGTGGTGCTGGCAGGGTCTGGCAGACACAGGAGCCTTCCCCTGGCTTATGAGGTCTTCTAGAATAAAAAGCCTGAGCATGCCTGTACTCAGGAGATGGGGAAGCCCTTCTGGCCCAACCTTGACCATGGGCTGGTATTCCCTAGGGGTCCAGTATGATGTGTGGCCACAGCCCTGGGACTCCCTACACCCCCATGAGTGGGTCACAGTGGGCACTGTGTGTGAAAGGAGGTCCGCCTGCTCCCTGGCCAGCCTTGCCCTCAGTTCCTGGGACTGCCATCTACTCAGAAAGGACTGCCTTCACACCAGTGGGCTTGCCAACAGAAACTCTCTCAGCCTTGCCCAGTAGATCCAAAGTCAGGTCCCAGTAGATCGGTAAATGAATAAAGTCTCCTCTTTGCCAGGCAGGGCGGACACTCTTGTTCAGATGCCAAAGGTAAATGCGTCAGGGCCTCTGAGGGGAGCATGCCCGGCACTGCCCTGGGCTGCTTGCTGTATGTATGATGGTGGCGAGGGCTACAGGGTGAGTGTGCAGCACCTTGAACCCCGGTCAGCCTGCACCACTCTCTGGGGTCCTAGAGGCAGGCAGCATGGGCCATGGCTGAGGACTTGCAGGGACAGGGGCCAGCACCCTGTCTCCTCCTCCCATCAGTGGCACAGGTAGCGTCCTCAATCCACACACTGACACAACTGGCTCCAATGGTGGACAGAAGAGCAGAGGTTTATAGGACCTGTCCCCAAGGGGAGAAGTAAAACAGATAAAATCTGGTGCTGGGGCCCTCCCTAGTGGTGCAGAGGGTAAGAATGCAGCACTGCAAGCTAGCCACAGCCGCTTCAGTGGGAGTTTGATCCCTGCCCCGGAGGTGATCCACATGGCGCGGCAGACCTCTCCAAACCCGCCCGCTGCTCCCCTCAGCAGTGTACTTTGTTGATCTGCCTGTTCTGATCCCCACTCTGTCTCTGGTGAAGCCTCTCACCATCTTGCACCTTTGGTTTGTACCCCATTTCTGTATGCGTACAAATAATCTTAAAAAGAAAAGAAAATCTGGGGCTGGGTTCCTGGTGAATGGGCTGCTGGGGTAACAGTAAGCATCCTGAGCTTTTGTTGAAGAGGTAGTCACATCTAGGAGGCCTCCTTGGAAGAGGAGGCATTAAACAAAGGTCTCCAGCTGTTAAGGGGGAGAACCTTCAGGCAGGAAGAGCTCACTTCTGCTCAGGCCCTTTGTGGCAGCAGCTGCTGTGCTGAGCAGACCCCCCTCTGACCCCACCACTGCCACTGTCACTGTGGGGCTGAGAGACATCTGTGTGGGTAGGGGGCAGTGCTTCTGCCAGGAGAGAGGCACCCAGCTGAGAGATTTTCTGTTACCCAGACTGACTGTGTAGGCGCTGCCCCTAGTAAGGTGGGGAGGACATGAGGCCTGGAGCCCAGCCACTTGGCCCTGCAGAGACAGGATGGGGGAGGCCCTGGTGTGCTGTCGTGACCTGCCATTCCCCTGGGCCCAGGGGCCCACACCTTCCAGGGAGAGCAAAGCACTTGGGGGCTTCAACCCAGGGATAGTCCCCTGCAGATCCAGGGGACCTCCTCCCAGAAGTTGGGCACTCCTGGGGCTTGTGGCTGTGGGGTGTTAGCTGCAATGTGAGCTGCACAGACCAAGGGAAAGGACAGTCTTTAAGGCTTGGTTGCTTTGTCAACAGAGCCTTGTTTTCCCTCAGCTCTCCCGTCCCTTTAGCTGGCAGGCAGAGCAAGTCCTATCAGTGCCCATTAGTGTGGCCTCACCAGGGCAAGGCTGCCCAGCAGGTGTCTGATCTCCACCTCCGTCCCCACAGGCCATCAGCATCAGCAAAGCCATCAACACCCAGGAGGCCCCTGTGAAGGAGAAGCATGCCCGCCGTATCCTTCCCTGTGACTTGCGCCCACCCCTCACCCCCTGCCCTGGCCCATGCTGCTTGTGCTTGGTGGGGGGCGACTGAGAAGCAGAATCTTCCCGGGGAAGCTACTAGGGTTTCAAAAAGTCCACCTTCCTGGAGACAGGGAGCACGATGGGGCATGTCCTCTTGGGGTCTTGGCCTCATCCCTCAGCCCTGAGCCCCACCTCAGATGGTCATCTGTGTTCCCTAGGCCTTTGGGCCAGTGACAGTCATGGGGCTTGGCCACAGAGGGAAAGGGCTTTGGGGGAGGCCTCCTGGGGCATCTGCCCTCTCCCTCAGCTGCTCTTGCTGACACTCCCATGCTTGCGTCTCTGCTCCTGCACTTGGCCTTGACCCTGGCAGGTATCATCCTGGGCACTCACCATGAGAAGGGCGCCTTCACTTTCTGGTCCTATGCCATCGGTCTGCCTCTTGCCAGCAGCTCCATCCTCAGCTGGAAATTCTGCCATGTCCTTCATAAGGTCCTTCGAGATGGGCACCCCCATGTGAGTAGCCACTGCCCACAGACCTCGTCCTGTCCCCCCGACCCCATGACAGACTTGCAGGACAGCACAGGGTCTGGGGAGCTGGGCCCCTAGGCAGGCATGGTGGGCTCCTTAACATGAGAGGCTCCCTGAGACTTTGTCTCTCAGCTGTAGCTGGCCCTCCCAGCCCTTGGCTGTGTCAGGGCCCCTCCCACAAAGTACTAGACTTCCTCCTCCACCCCTCACCCTCTGTGCACAGGTGCTGCATGATTGCCAGCGGTACCGGAGCAACATTCGGGAGATTGGAGATCTGTGGGTAGGTGGTGGTGGTGGTGGGGTTGTCCCCCAGGTCCAGCTGCAGCTGTGCTGGAAGTTCCAGGGCTGTGGGGACGGGGCACCTGGGGGGCCAAGTCCTGGTTGGAGTGGCTATAGGGGCAGCTGTGCTTCTGGCCCAGAAGGTGCAGATACACGAGTGCCTGTCCTGCAGCTGCAGAAACCCTCATCCCTGTGAGTGTGGGACTCTGGCCACCCTGACCCAGGGACCATGTCCACAGCGGCCCTTAGTGCCCTTATGAGATCACAGACCAGCTGCTCTAGAATCTTGGCCTCGGATCTGCGTTCAACAAGCTCCCTAGAAGCTTCTGGCCCCCAGTGAAGTCTCAGAGCCCTGGGAGCTAGTATTCTAGAGCTGCTCCAAGACGTCCAGACCCAGACGTCCCTGAGTAGAAAGGGCCTCTGGAGATAGAGCAGCCCAGCGCTCTGCATTTTAGGGATGGCCGCTGAAGACAGGGAAAGGGCACCCTGGTGCCATTTGCAGACACAGGCCCAGGTGGTGTGGCCACAGGGGCAACAGAGGAAGCTAGGCAGATGAGTCCACCATGTCCATCGGAATGTGCCTTCCTGGCAGCCACCAGCATTTTAATAAAGTCTCCCTCCTTGGACCTGGCCTGTGGCCCTGGGGCAGACCTCTCCTCACAAGAGTTTCTTTGGCAAGAATGACAAAGAGTAAGATTTAAAAAGAGCTGTGGCCAAAGGGGGAGATAGGCAGCCCCTCAGGCTGGGAGTGAGCCACCTCTAGTGAGCTGAGCCTGTGTCTGGGGTCAAGGAGTGACTGGCCCCTGGCAGCTGTCACCTGGACTTGTTGGTTTGCCTGGAGCAGGCCCAGGACTCCTGGGCTGGTTCACAGGCATGGGCCTGATTTGGGCTTCTGTCTCCACAGGGGCATTTGCATGACCGGTACGGACAGCTGGTGAATGTCTACACCAAACTCTTACTGACCAAAATCTCCTTCCATGTCAAGGTAGCAGCTTTGGGAGGACATGAGGTGGAGGGGCTCTGGGTTTACCCTCCATGGCATCCTGAGGGGCGTGGGGATGGGGAGAGTCAGCATGCAGAAGTTGCATTTTTACAACCTTGAGCCTCACCCAAGGGTCAGGGGAGTCATCAGTGTCTGCCAGCTGGGAGGTCTGCCTCCCTGATCTCTCCTGTCCTCAGGGTCCCTCGCTGGGCCCCAGGCAGATAGTGGCTCCCCAGGCTGGGACTTCCCTGCCTCTGCCCCTCAAGGATCAGAAATGACTGGCCAGAGCTAATGTGGGCCACAGTTGACTGGGGGTGTCCTCTTCACAGCATCCCCAGTTTCCTGCAGGCTTGGAGGTGACAGACGAGGTGCTGGAGAAGGCAGCTGGCACAGATGTCAACAACACGTGAGTCCCTCATGCCTCACTGCTGCTCCTTGTGACCCATACCAGGCTCCCTGTGGCCAATGCGCTCCATGGCTTTCGGGGTTAGAGATTGTATTGCAGCAGATGAGTGGGAAGGGAGTGGGATGATTTCAAATTGGGTGTCTGTCCCTAGCGAAGGCCTGTGTGTGACCTGTGCTCCCTCCTTCCTCCTGGAGCTCCCTTAGGACCATGGGGCATGTCCCCACTTCTCCCACTCATCTCTCCTCTGCCTGCTCTCCTTTCCCCGCCCTTCCCATAGCTTCCAGCTTACTGTGGAGATGTTTGACTATATGGACTGTGAGCTGAAGCTTTCTGAATCAGGTGAGTCTCCTGAGGAGACAATGGGGGTCTGCGGGAGCACTCAGCTTATAGGTGGGAAGACGGAGCGGGGGATCTGGCAGCCCAGCTGGCTGCTTCACTTACCCTTGGGAGACCAGGCCCCAAAGTACAGCCTTTCTCACCCTGAAGGATACAGGCCTTGGTGGCCACGTTCAGGGTTGCTGCCACAAAGAACCTACCTGAGCGCTCTGGGCTGGAAGGGTCTGCAGCAGGGGTTGCTGGGAACACCCTTTTTAGGGACCTGACCCGAGCTCTGCCTCAGGCATCAGCATTACCCACCAGGAGGGTAGTTGGGCAGTCTTGCCCAATTTCTGCTGTCAAAAGCTTCTGAGTCATACTGGACTTCCCAGCCTGGAACCTGGCAGTGCTGGACAGGAACTCAAGCTGCAGAAGTGATGGGCGGCAACCTCAGAGCTACTCGGGGGTGACTCAGTGTTCTCACAGGAGGGCTAGAGGCAAACTAAATGCCTTTTTATGGGAAAGTCTAGATTTAGGAAGTGGTGGATCCAGGCAACCTCTGGGTGTTCCCACTTCTGGGCTCAGACCGGGCTAGTCCGGTGGCCAGCTGGGAGCTGGACCTTCTGTGCTTGAGGGGGCCTGCCAAGGCCCTGGGGCTGGGGGCATGCCTGCGCCCTAATCCTAGCAGAAACGTGCTGCTCACAGGGCAGAGGTCTGCTCAGCAGCTGCCACCTCCTTCCCCAGGGCTTTTCTGGGCCGAGTGGCCAGGCCCTGTGGGCGTCCCCATGAAGGAGGGTACAGAAGGGGACACTGATGTCTCCATGAAGCACAAAGAAGGGTGTGCCAGGCCCACATGCCAAGATGTGGCTGTGGTGGAGAAGGGCACGCATAGCGGGAGATTCAGGACGGCCAGTGTGTGTATCTGCATGGCAGGGAGAGAGCTAGAAAAAAGTTGTACCAAATGAATAAAGCCAGTGCAGAATATTTACTTATATGTCTAGAACCTAAGCAGTGCTTTTGTGTTTTAACTTTTCATAAGGAAAATGTGCTTAAATGATAGAATTAATTTTTTTAACAGTTAGGGAGAGCACTTAGCTCCATCCCTCCCAGGCATTCTCTGGTCAACACAGTCACATCCCAAGGCTTGGGGTCCCATTCTGGACCTCCTATGGGCTCCCTGAGGTGCTGCCTGCCCAAGAAGAGGAAGCCTCAGCTTATTCCTTTCCTGATAAAAGGCTTGGTTGTTGGGCTGGGGAGATTGGCCTCGGTACAGCTGAGGTGCCAGGGTCCCTTGGGATTTGCAGAGTTGTCCTTGTCCCTTCACTGCTGTGAATGGATCCAGCCTGTGTCCATAGCTAAAAATGAGGCCTTGGGTTATGTAGCCTCCAGCCTCCCCTGAGATCTAGAGAATGGGTCTCTGGCACTGTGCACGGCCCAGTTGGAAGTGGTCAGGCAGACTCCGCAGGCTGCTGCCATCTTTACACCAGCCCCCAAAGGCACTGCAACCTGCAGTATCCCCTTTCTATCCCCCCACTTCCATCCCTGCCCCAGGCCTGCCTCCCTCCGGCCCGCCCCTCCCTCCCCATCCCCCACACACACTCTGCCCTGTTGCTCAGCGGCTCTGGGGCTGCAGTCCCCACTCCTGCACTCATGCTTCGCCTGCCCCTCGGCAGTGTTCCGGCAGCTCAATACAGCCATCGCGGTTTCCCAGATGTCCTCAGGCCAGTGCCGCCTCGCACCGCTCATCCAGGTCATCCAGGACTGCAGCCACCTCTACCACTACACAGTCAAGCTCATGTTCAAGCTTCACGCCTGTGCGTACTGTGGTGGGGCAGAGGGTGCCTGTCGGGTGGGGAGACAGAACTTGCAGAGATACTTGTGTATGAGTTGGAAGCAGCAATGATAACCTCTGTGTCTGTTACATTAACAACTTTTACAAAACATCAATATTTTCCAGAGCAGACTTCTAGTGAGGAGAGGGGCAGAGCCTGTGCTTGTAGCCTTTTAACTGCCCCGCTGGGTGGCTGTTGCAGTGCCAGGCTAAAAGACAATATGTCCCTCTAGTGTTCAGAGAGTTTGGGCCCAGTGGCCCCTGTGAAAGGGCCACATCTCAGACCCCACTTTGAAAATCACCAGCCAGAGGTAGACAAGCTGTTTATGAGCTGTGGCAGATACACCAGATGCACTGAGCAGGTCCATATTCTACCTTCTTCCCATTCACCATGTCCTGTCCTCAGCTTCCCATTCTGCCCCCTACAAAATCAAGAGCTAGGCTCACCACAGGGACCTTGATTCGGCCTCCCAGTGGATGGGTGGGACCCCTGCCAGGTGGCAGATGACCTGTAATCTGTGCTGCTTTCTAGATAGTGGGGGATGGGTGTGGGCAGGAGAGAAGGGTGGACTGGGAGTCACACCTGCAAACCGTGAGTGGAGGGAGCCCCGCTGAACCTGTGCTGCCCCCAGGTCTCCCGGCGGATACCCTGCAAGGCCACAGGGACCGGTTCCACGAGCAGTTTCACAGGTACCTACAGGCACAGTGGGAAGGCTCCCTGCCACACCTGCTGGGGGGTTCCTCCATGCCACCCTCATCTTTCCACACAGCCTCAGAAACTTCTTCCGAAGAGCCTCGGACATGCTGTACTTCAAGCGGCTCATCCAGATTCCCCGGTTGCCTGAGGTACTCACTACACAGCCCTGCACTCACCCCAGTCTGCTGGATTCGAGGACCTGCTTGCCTGGCAGACCCCACCAGCTCTGATGGGTATGGTGGTGGGGAGATGGGGGGCAGGGTTGGTGACTGCGTGGCTCCCACCTGTGGCCCCTGCAGGGACCACCCAACTTCCTGCGGGCCTCGGCGCTTGCTGAGCACATCAAGCCCGTTGTGGTGATCCCTGAGGAGGCACCTGAGGATGAGGAGCCCGAGAACCTCATTGAGATTAGCACAGGCCCCCCCACCGAGGAGCCATTGGTGAGCCACTACTCCCTGTCTCCCCATCCTGCAGGGGCGGGGGTTGGGGGTGGCTGGCGGGCCCTGTTCTCCTGGACTGTAGAGCCAGGAGGTGGGCCAGGAGTTGACAGCCTTTTTGTGACAGTTAGTGGCTGACCTCTTTGACCAGACGTTTGGACCACCCAATGGCTCCATGAAGGATGACAGGTGAGGGTCCCGGGCAGGTAGGCACCACTGCAGTAGGTGGGACACAAGCTTGGCCGCAAGGGGCCTCAAGAGCAACCCAGTTCCCTGACCTGCGCCTGGTTTGCAAACTTGATTCAGCCCTGTGCAGGCCTCAGAAATCCCTGCCCGCCTGCCTCTCTCCCCAGGGACCTCCAGATCGAGAACTTGAAGAGAGAGGTGGAGATGCTACGAGCCGAGCTAGAGAAAATCAAGCTGGAGGTGAGAGCTGGTGGAGGCGGGTAGGGGTGCATGGCAACCCCCACACTGGCAGGCCCATCTCCTGTCCTTTTCCTTGCCACCACTGCAGGCCCAGCGGTACATCTCACAGCTAAAGGGCCAGGTGAATGGGCTGGAGGCCGAGTTGGAGGAGCAGCGGAAGCAGAAGCAGAAGGCCCTGGTGGACAACGAGCAGCTGCGCCATGAGCTGGCCCAGCTGAGGGCCACCCAACAGGAAGGCGCACGCAACCAGGGCCTGCGCGAGGAGGCTGAGAGTGGGTCGGGGGTAGAGGCGGGGCTGGGCCCCGGCAGGCTGGTGGCTCCAGGCCCCAGTCACATACCTTCTCGCTGCAGAGAAGGCCAGTGCCACGGAGGCCCGCTATAACCGGCTGAAGGAGAAACACAGCGAGCTCATCAACACACATGCAGAGCTGCTCAGGAAGGTGGGCTGCAGCTGGGTGTGCAGCACCCTGGTCAGAGCTGCGGGAGGGGCCCAGCGGTGGTCTGAGTCTATCCTTCCACCAGAATGCAGACACAGCCAAGCAGCTGACAGTGACACAGCAGAGCCAGGAGGAGGTGGCGCGGGTGAAGGAGCAGCTGGCTTTCCAGATGGAGCAGGTGAAACGGGCCTCTGAGATGAAGGTATGTCTTCCTACCTGCATGCCCTGGGGCTCCCACCCCAGGCCTTGCCCTGGCCCCAGCCCCAATGCCCCCTGACATGCTGCTTTGTCCTAGCTGGAGGAACAGAGCGACCAGCTAGAAAAGCTCAAGCGGGAGCTGGCAGCCAAAGCGGGAGAGCTGGTGTGCGTGCAGGAGGCCTTGGGCCGCGAGCAGCAGGTGTGGCGGCCAGTGGGGCTCCGGGTGGCGAGCAGAAGAGCCAGGCTGCTTCTTCCTGTGAGCCAGGCCACTCACTCCTCAATGCCATTGGGTTGGTCAGAGGCGCCTTGTCAGTCTTGCGTGCAGCTCTAGCCCAGTACCAGGGCAACAGGAGACTAGGCCTGGCCCTCAGGAAGCCCTCAGCACTGGCCGTCATGAAGGCATGACCTTGAGGAGCTGGCTGTAGACTTGGGGTGGTGGTGGCTGGTGGGGCCTGGACACTCATGCCAAAGTGTCCACAGAACGGGCAGGAGCTAAGCTCACGGCTGGACGCGCTGAGCACAGAGAAGGATGTACTGAGCAGTGCTGTGCGGCAGCGGGAGGCTGACCTGCTGGAGGCCCAGAGCCTGGTGCGTGAGAAGGAGGCTGCGCTGAGCCAGGAACAGCAACGCAGCTCCCGGGAGAGGAGTGAGCTGCAGGGGCAGCTGGCCCACAAGGTAGTGGCCCCCACCACAGCCACCCCAGAACCTTCACACTACACAGCTGACCTGTGAGAGTGAGCAAGCCAGGTCTTGTTTATAGAAAAGCACATGCTCTGCTTCCAGAACACTTGTCATTCCAGAACACCCTTCCCCATGGCCCCTGCAACTGCTGTACATGGGGTGGTCTGTGCAGTACATGTCCAGTGAGTGGAGCCCATGAGACCCCTTTTTTCCCCTTGCAGGGTCTGTCCTTTTTGGGGCCCAGCACTTTGGTTGTCCTTCCATGGGCTGACAGACATGGCTGGTCTCTGCTCTTTGGCTGATGTGGCTGCTGCTGCTCTAGATACTTATGCACAAGGGTTTGTGGGCGGGCACATGTGTCCCTCTTTTGGTTCTGTGCCTGGGACTGGAATTGCTACAGCACATGGCAATTTGATGTTTGGCCTTTAGAGGATTTGCCAAAATGTCTTCTAAATGTGGTGCTTTACATTCCCTACCAGTACCATGAGCGCAGCTTCCTTGCCCTCTCACCAGCACTTCTGGCCAGCCTTGGGGGTGCAAGGCAGTGTCTCATTGTGGGTTTGCCTGGTACTTCCTCCTGGCTGGTGAGACTGAGTGTCTCCTTATAGCTCGTTGCTATTTGCATATCTGGGGACAAAGGTCTGTGTATGTGCTTCACCTCCTTTCTTACTGGCCTTTTATTTTGAGCTTGAGGGAACACCCAGGCACTGGGGCAGGCTGGGGCAGTCTCGGAGCCATTTCCCACTCCCTAGGAGTCCCAGGAGCAGGAGTTGCTGCAGAGGCTCTTGGATGAGCAGTTTGCAGTGCTGCGGGGCACGGCTGCCGAGGCTGAACGTATCCTGCAGGATGCCATGGGCAAGCTGGATGACCCCCTGCACCTGCGCTGTACCAGCTCCCCAGGTAGGGCCCCTGCTTCCCGTCTGGGTAAGAGAGCAGGGAAGGGTGCGGCAGTGCAGGCTGAGCCCAGCCCTCCATCTTCTGTGCTTGCAGACTATCTGGTAAGCCGGGCCCAGGCAGCCCTGGATGCCGTGGGTACCCTGGAACAGGGCCATGTCCAGTACCTCACCTCCCCCACGGGTAAGCTTTCCCAAGCAGAAGCCTGAGCAGGCCCCTACCCCCACCACCCCCCAACCCAGCTTTGGGTCCCGCTGTGCTGCTTTGTAGTTGAAGGACCTTGGCCTGTCTCCTCCACTGAGCCTTACCCTCCAGACCCTAAATAGGATACTGGGTGGCAGTAGCATTGTGATCTCTGCTCTCCTTACCACAGATGCCTCTGCCCTGGTGGCAGCCCTCACCCAGTTCTCCCACCTCATGGCGGACACCATTGTCAATGGCAGTGCCACCTCCCACCTGGCCCCCACTGACCCTGCTGACCGTGAGTGGCCCTGGGTGGTGGTGCCAATCACCTCTCCAGCTTGACTTGTGTGGGGTCTTCGTGGTGGGCACAAAGGGGAGGGGGGAGCACTGTAATGTCTTTATCAGAGCCGGGGCTGGGCCTGTGTGCAGGGCCTTCCTCCAGGCTTCTTGGGCACCCTCTTCCCCCAGGCCTGGTTGATACCTGTAGGGAGTGTGGGGCACGGGCCCTGGAGCTGATGAGGCAGCTACAGGATCGGCAGGCACTGATGCAGGCCCAGCCTGACATGGTGCGAGGTCCCCTTCGGGGCATCCTTCAGCTGGGCCAGGTGAGTGCCCCAGTGGGGTGTGGGTCCCTGACTGGTCTGCCCCTCCCTCCAGTCTGAACTGAACAGCTATTCATGGACTGCAGCCATGGGATGCAGGCACCCACCCCTGCACACTGCCACCCCAGCTGCTTCCCAGGCTTGCTGGGGTTGCTGCGGGTCAGGTTCCTCAGAAGCTCCTGGGCACCTTCCTTCCCCAGGAGCTGAAGCCCAAGAGCCTGGATGTGCATCAGGAGGAACTGGGCACCATGGTGGAAAAGGAGATGGCAGCTACCTCTGCTGCCATTGAGGATGCTGTCCGGAGGATCGAGGTGAGGACTGCACGCGGCACCTCAGTTCCCACAGGAGCCCAGGGTACGCATAGCCTGGGGCAGAGGGGCTAGGGTAGTCCCTCAGGTCAGAGCTGCGAAGAGGCCTGGCTTCTCCCCTGAGCCTGGCCTGCCCCTCCTCAGCTCAGTGGCTGTTCTGGGGAGTCTCCAGCACTGGCTCCCCCCTCCCACCACACACACCGCCTCCCTCCCAGCCTGCTCATGGCTCTGTCATTGGGTGCAGGACATGATGAATCAGGCTCGCCACGCTAGCTCAGGGGTGAAGCTGGAGGTGAACGAGAGGTGAGTCCCACATCTGCTGTCCCAGATGTGGGGGGCTGCCCTGCTGTTGGCCTAGCGCTCCAGGACTGGGAAGGAGCAGGGCTGCCCCCACCACGGGCCCCATCCTGCCCACTGAGGCCACCAGCCTCCCTGGAACCACTGTGGCCCCGTGCCCATGCTGCACACCTCTCTCCTTGTGCTTGCCCCTGCTTCCCCCAGGATCCTCAACTCCTGCACAGACCTGATGAAGGTGAGTGGCCAGCTGAGACCCCGGGGTGGACTCTGTCCCTGGGAGGCTTCCTGGAGAATGACCTGCTCCTTGTTTCTGGCAGGCCATCCGACTCCTGGTAATGACGTCCACCAGCCTGCAGAAGGAGATTGTGGAGAGCGGCAGGGTGAGCCGGTGTCCGGGGTCCTCCCTGCTGGGCAAGCCGCACAGCACATAGCTTGGGACAGTGAGAGGCAGATTCCTTCTGAGCCAGAACCCACCACCCATGTGGCTTGAGCCATCACAGGCCCCTTGAGGATGACACCGACTGTGCAGGGGTGTGACTCCCCAGTGCACACAGCATGCCCAACCATCTGCTGACTCCTAGGGGCTCAGGGCCCCACTCTCCCTGGCAGCTGGGTAAGGAGGAAAGGCCCTGGGGCATGCTGTGCCAGTGACGGTGCCCTCCTCCTGTCACCACTAGGGGGCAGCCACGCAGCAGGAATTTTACGCCAAGAACTCCAGGTGGACAGAAGGCCTCATCTCTGCTTCCAAGGCCGTGGGCTGGGGAGCCACACAGTTGGTGTATGTCACCCCAGGTGGGGGGGGATGCAATAGGGTGTGGTGCATAGGGTTTGGGGAGGGACGCTGCGGGTGGCAAGTCGTCCATGGGGTCGGAGAGCCAGATCCCACCTGGCCCACCCCCAGGGAGTCTGCAGACAGGGTGGTGCTGCACATGGGCAAGTATGAAGAGCTCATCGTCTGCTCCCACGAGATTGCAGCCAGCACAGCCCAGCTGGTGGCAGCCTCCAAGGTAAGCCCTGGGCTGGCTGGAGGACCTAGGGGTGGCAGGCCTCACCTAAGCAGACCCCCTCACTGGCCCACTCACTCCCCTAGGTGAAGGCCAACAAGCACAGCCAGCACCTGAGTCGCCTGCAGGAGTGCTCCCGTGCCGTTAATGAGAAGGCCGCCAGCGTGGTAGCCTCCACCAAGTCGGGCCAGGAGCAGATCGAGGACCGAGGCCAGTGCTGGGACCCTGTTTAGGGGAAGGGGGAGTTGAGGCACCCAGACACTTAACTCCCTTTTCTCCATCCGACTACAGACACCATGGACTTCTCTGGTCTGTCACTCATCAAGCTGAAGAAGCAGGAGATGGAGACCCAGGTGGGTGGCATTCCCCCACCCCGCCCAGTTTCAGGCGCCAGGGCTGACCTCTGAGGTTTGAGGGCCTGGGAGTGTGTGCTAAGTGGTGTGTGGGCTGCAGGTGCGCGTCCTTGAGTTGGAGAAGACACTGGAGGCGGAGCGCGTGCGGCTGGGGGAGCTGCGCAAACAGCACTATGCACTGGCGGGTACTGCCCCGCCCAGGGCACCTGAGGAGGAGGAGGAGCCCAGCCAGCCCAGAGCTGCCCCCCGCAGCGGGACTACCAGGAAGCCACCTCTGGCCCAGAAGCCCAGTGTGGCCCCCAGGCCGGACCACCAGGTACAGGGGTCATGCTGGGCAAGGAGGGGCTGGTGCCGGAGTCTGAGCAGGCCTACGGCCCTAGCAGTGGCGGGGTCGTGGCCCAGGAGAGGTGGGGAACATGCTGGCCATGTCCACTGAGCCTGCCCTCCCTTTTGATTCCAGCAACTTGACAAAAAGGATGGTGTCCATCAGGCTCCACTCATGCACTAGGCCCTGGGGGTCTGTCTGGCCCAAGGCTGGTAGCTGCCCTGACTTGGCCTGGCCGAGGAGCCTATGAGGCCCAGCCCATAGCAGGCGGTTGCATCTCCACACCAGGCACCCTGTGTGCCCTCAGCCCCACCATGCTGGACCCTGGAAGCCTGGCAGCCCCAGGCCTTTGTGTTCTGAACGTGCATCTGCCACTGGGATCCCGCAGGCCTGAGTCCTCAGGAAATACAGACACCTGGAACATTCCAAATTAACGAGTTTGTATTCACACCTGGAAGCAGGGCCACTGGAGGGGATTTGGGCAGGGCCTCTCTTGCCTTCCTGACTCCAGGTCTGAGGTGAAAGAATGGAAAGGGCAGCCTGCACTAACTGCTGGGCACTAGACTAAGACATTATCTGGCCTCGCTGGGGCACCGTCTGTGGAGACAACCTGGTGAACTTGGCAGGAGGCTCTGGGGCCATCCTCCTTGGCCTGGCTCAAAGGCACAAGTGACAGCAGCACAGGGACACAGATGGCATCTGGAGAAGGCCCTGCCCTGCACAGGTGCTGCCCCAGCTCAGTCTTCCCCCCACCCTCCCTTTTCCACTCCCCTGCTCTGGCTACCCCGCCCTTACATTTGTCCCACCCCCCACTTTCCCCTACTCTGCTGAAGGTGGGGCCTTGCCCCTCTACAGATAAAGCTCCAAGACTGGAAGCTGCCTGTGGTCTTTCTGCCACCAACCGCCCACGCATCCCAGGAAGTGGCTGCCAAAGGCCAGCCAAGTCCTGAAAGCGATCTTAGGGCCTGGCCTGGAGGAATTGGCTCTGAGTGACCCTGGTTCCTGGAAGTTGTCCTCCCCCACCTAACGGGCCAGAGCTGAGGGGAGAAGGCGTTCCCACCTAGCCAAGCCCACAACCCAGATCCACTGACCTCCCCACTCTCACCCGGACCCCATGCACTCAGCTACCACCTGAACCTGAGATGGAGTCGCCTGTGTGGAGGTGAAGGCTGGCAATAAACAGCAGTACTTGACTGTTGTCTGCAGGCCCCTAGAAGGCCATGTCTACTGGTCACTGTCTGGCACCAAGGCACTGGGTGGGAAACTGGTTTCTTCAGGTGACCCTGGCTGGCCCCTTGGGGCTAAGGCTTCTCTCCCTGACCCTCCCACCCAGGACTCAGCCCTGGTTCTCTGGGGCAGAGGTGACCCAATTCCATGTGACTAAGACCATCTGGCCTTGACCTTAAGGCTACACACAGCTTTGTGTGTTTGAGAACTTAAAAGGTATCTAGGCTCCTGAGTGTGCACCTGGGCCTGCAAGTCCCTGGGGAGCTCCAGGCCACCTACACTCAGGTCAGTAGTAGTGCTGCTGGGGAGGAGGCCCACTGCATGCTCTGTGCCTTTGTTGCTGGAGGATGGGGTGCCCCAGCAGGGCAGTGTTAGGACAGGTATGATAGCCAGCAGGAGGTCATGTGCCCAGCTCTTGCTGAGAACCTGAGGCCCACCCCCTAGAAGGGGCAGAGCGCCTGGCAAAGAGCCAAACTCCCAGCATGCGCTCTGGGGGTGGAGTTATGTATAGCTGGGTATTTGCCTTCCCAGCAGCTACTGGAGCAGACACAAGTTCTCTCAGGCAAAAAAAGGCAGACTGACTTCTAGGTGGAGACTGCAGCAGCTGTAACATGTCCTCAGCAGAGGTATGCAGGGAAGGGTGCTGAGCAGAGTCTCGGGGAGGGGGATGGGGGGACAGAGGGACTGTTTGCCACAGCACACAGCTCAGCCCAAACCAGCTATAAGCCCAGATTCTAACAGGCAGTCCTGTGATCTCAAAAGCAAGTGTGGGGACCCTTTAGACAGCGAGGCCCAAGGGTTGCACCTGTCCACCTGGTATGGCACTGTGGCTTTTACTTTCAACTCCCACCCCCCACACCCCAGGGGAACAGGGACAGGAGATTATTAATAACTCTTTATTAAAAAGGGTCCTACAACTTTACAAACAGCTCAGACAAGGCCCTGGAGAGATGGTGAGGCAGTGGCGACTCCTCCATATTTGGCTGTGCCCTGACAGCAGGGCAGGCGGTGGAGGTATTGGGTTGGATGGCACCGCTCTCGGGAGTCAGAGCATGGCCAACCCATCTGATTGGCATGAAATGACTGTCGACGCAGTGGGTTTCAGGCTGGAACCCAGCAGTACTCACGCAGAAGCTGGTCTACAGGACAGACCCCAGCCAACTCAGTACCTGAATCTAGTGCGTATGGGCCATTTGTCAACAGAGGGTGACCCTGACCCTCTCCCCCGAACCTGTGACTACACATGCACGTGAACCCAGAGGAAAAGGAGCTGGTGTGTCGGCCCATAGCAGGTGGCAATGGTTTTCTCCAAACCAGGCTGAGATCTGCATACCCCTGCCCAGCCTGCCAATCGCAGCCAGTGCTGACAACACACTGAACAGACAGGGCCTGGGCACAGGTGGCCCCTAGGGAGCTGAAGCCCTCCCTGGCCCAGGTGAACCTAAGGCACTGTGGCAACCACAGGTGTGGCCACACACTGCCAATGGGGACAGTAGCCCTTGCTTCCTCCACACGCCAGTCTGCGCCAAACAATGTGCATCATTTAGTTTCCCTGAATGGTCTGTCAAAAAAAAAAAAAAAAATCTTCCTTACCAATATAAAATAGGAAAACCACACAGTGAAAATGGGGGTGGGGGGTGTCTTCATAGAAACCCTCAGGCGGGTGGGACGGCACCACCATGCAAAGTCCAGCTCCCACCAAGTGCAAAGCCTGCCTGGGACCTGGAGGTGTCAAAAGTTCCCAGATTCAAGGAGGGGTGACAGGTGCACCCACTGTTTCTAGAGCACCCTCCTGGCTGGCCCCTGCCAACTGGCCTGCGATGGCCAGCACATGGGACAGGACTCAAAGTAAAACCACGACCCGTGCTCATTAAAGCTGCAAGTAGGGTCTCACTTTGGGGTGGGTTGGGCAGGGGGGTTGTTTCCAATCACATGAGGTCAACACTATAAGACAGAAACCACACCAGTAGCGCAAACCAGGGGGAGCCAGGCTGAGGCCCCTAGTGCCACTGGGGTGCCTACTTCCACTTAACCTGACCTACAGCTCTAAAGGCTGCCAGACACCAGGCCCACTAGAGGATGAAACCTGGCTGGTGTGGGGGTGGCAGCCGGGGTGGGGGTCTCTGGGGGAGAGCTGGCGGGATTGACGGCGACATGAGCTGCATGGAGAATCCTTGCTGGGTAGGGAGGCCCACGCGGGGGGGCAGAGGGGGGCACTGAAGTCCTGGGTACGGGAGGGCCTGTCCTGAGGCCACGGCAGCAGCAAACGGTGTGGCCATACATCCTACAGGCACTGGGGGTGGTGGGGGAGGGATGCGCCGAGGCAGGACAGAAGGGGGCCCGCTGGCCTCTGTGGTGGGGTAGGGCAGGGGGGCAGGGGACACCGGCTCAGGCACCCTGGGCAGGGCTGGGGCCTGTGGCAGTCTCTGCCCCTTTAGCACCATCTCCTGGAGCTTCTCGATTTTAACTCTCCTGGTGTGGGCCAGTTTCCGCTGGCTCTGATAGACATCGATGAAAGAGTCTAGGGCAAGTTCTCCATCAAGAAACTTCTCTGCCATGTTCTGGAAGGAGTAGGAAAAACCTTGTTAAAGGAAAAGGTGCTGCAGCCACTAGGGAAGGACCCTCCTCTCCTCCCTCTGCCACAGGCTCCTGGGCTAAGGGACCAGCTGAACCCAGCAGGAGCCCACTGGTCAAGGGGGAGGGGACCTGAGCCAGGGGAGCAGGTGGAATGGCCCCTGCAGCCACGAGTGGCCTTACAACTGAGTGGCCAGCTCTACCCATCCGGAAGGGCACCCAGCTCCTATGCACGCGCTAAGTAGGTCACTCGCTGCCTTCTCCCCTCAGCTACTTCCCAGACTTGCCCCACATCAAGTCAGCAAGACAGAAATGTGCTTGTGGCCCCCAGGCCTAACAGTAGCAGGTGGCATGGCCTAGGAGGGGGGGTGCTGTGCTGGTGGCGCTCACCCCTCCCCAGGAACCCCAGCACTCACTATTCCAGGAGCCCTGCCCCAGAGCTGCTTTACCTCGGTGTCCTCCTCGATCTTGGCCCCTTCGGCCTGAAGAAGCGCTAACAGGGTCTCCAAGGAAGCACTGCTTGACTGTTGATCTGGGAGAGGCAGGGGAGCAAAAGGCATCAGACACGATCCTGGCTGACCTCCCTCCAGAGCTTACTCTCTGGGGAAAGGCAAGGGCAATGTGTAGACACATGGTCAAGGGGGAGGGGACCTGAGCCAGGGGAGCAGGTGGAATGGCCCCTGCAGCCACGAGTGGCCTTACAAGCCTGCGTCACTCTGCCTGGCACACAGTACCACCCACCCTCTTGGCCCTTGCGTTCCCCATGCTGCCAAATGACAACTCAGGCCAGGTACCCCTTGGGGCTCACCCCCAAATTCCACATGTGGGCAGGCCACTACCACCCATGGGAAAACAGGATGGTCCTGGCGGCCCACAGCCCTGCAACGGGGAGCTGGTGCTAACTGCCCTCCAAGAGCCAAGCCAGTTTTGTCAGAGGGTTGCAGGGATCCACCCACCTCTGCCTCCGCACCTCCTGCTGCTGGGGGCAGCGCTCTGGCCAGCTTTCAACAGGGGCACCTGGATAGCCTCCGGTTTCAGCAGTAAGTGACTGACCAGTCTGCCCCTTACTCAGCTGCACAGGCACCGCAGCCCTCTGTCCACCAGCAGTGCCAGGTGCACCTGGGAAGGGTCATCCGCCAGCTCACCTCTCAGTGACCCTCACCTCTCTGTCTCAAAGCACCCTGGGGACATCTGCACCCAGAATGTGTGATGCCAATTCCTCCCTTTCCAAGAGGCTGTGGACTAGAGCATGCCCTAAAGCCTGTGTCCAAGGTGTCCAGCAACTCCCAGGGCCTGACCAAGCAGGACTGGTGCAGCCAAACACCATGATTTGAAAAAAGAAAACTTCCTTTTTCTATGTTGTTCAAAGGAGGAAGTCTCATTTACAAAGTGGCTAAGGGACCTCCCGGGTGGTACAGGGTTCAATTGCAGACTATGAAGCTACCTACAGCCACTGGCTCAACCCCCACACCCTAGCCTGTACCCTGGTTGTTATATGCATAAATAAATCTTAAAAATAAGGGGGGGGGGGCTAAATCTCTCAAACTGTGACACAATTCCATTCCTGAACTGTCAATCATTCAACCTGACAACTCCCCACTATAGCGCCACCTATAGTGGCCGGGTGGGGAACGCATCCTTCCCACCACTTTTTACTCTTCAAATCTCCCACAGTTACCTAATTTGGTCTTCTTTATTTGACAGGCTTCAAAGAGAACCTGTAGCTCTTGGTATTTCTGGGTCAAGCGAGCTTTCAGTGTGTCCAGCTGGGGTTGGTACAAAAGGTTTCCTTCTGCCAGGCTCCGGTTGCTGGCGAGCGTCATTTCTTTGTTCAGCTGAACATTCTGTGTCTGTAAGTAACATATAGGCTGATCAGAACCAAAGTGAGTTCACTGGCAAGTCCTCAGAGACAGCGAACCTGCACTGCAGGGACCCCGCTGGCACCGCCACCTCCAATTCCTACTCAATCCCCTCACTTTCAATTTGGATACTGCTCCTTGTCCTTACAGAGGGAGGCTACTGCCTTGCCCAACAGAGTGCAGGGAGGCCTCTGTCTTGACTGTCCAGGCCTTCACTCAGCTGGCAGCGCAGGGACCAGCGTGCCTCATGACCACCATGCCCATGAGAAGCTAGCACGGTGAAGATTCTGGGCTAGATTCTGTCAGATCAAGATTCTGCTGCTGTAGAGTAAGTCTAAGAGTCACATTCATCAGAGGCCCATTCGCGTGAAGTCCAGTCAGGTGTCATCAGACTCAGACATTGCTGCCTGAGAGACCTGGGAGTGAAACCCCTTCTAGGACCCTCTCTTCCAGCTCTGCCAAAGGGGGATCAGTTCGTCCTTCTAAGCCATGATAGGCTATCTAGGAGGCAAGGGGAGGGGGAAGGAAGGTTGAGAAAAAGAAAAAGGTAAGGCGTGCCTGAGGAACCTGGGCCAGAGTAGCATGCATAACAAGAAAGCAGGAGAAACACACCCTTGTGCTTCACAAGCCAAACCCCCTTTATATGAGGTGCTGGCTTCCTACACTGCCACCCACAGCAACCACACCTCTGCCTGGATGTCTTCCCTACCATGTGGCCCGGTTTCTCTTGGGAATGCTTCCTCACCTCCAGGCCGGCCATCCGCCCAGCACTGTGGACTGCCCCACCCGGGCTATTTTCGAGGCGACTTCCTTCCTCTCAACAGTCGATGCAGGTTCTGGCAGCGGCTCCCTGCCCCAAGCCCAGCGTACTCAGGCGCGGCACACACACACTGCCAGCACACACTCCTGCACTCATGTACACAAGGTGCATGTGCATACAGGCCTCTGGGATGGCCTTGACCAAGAGCCCAGACTGCCAGTTGGTACCTTCATACACCATCTGCATCGCCACCCAATGAGCTGGGTCCCAGGCCCAAATGGTCAGGCTCACTTTGAAACAAAGGATTTAAACTAAGAGAAAATTAAGTCTCTGGCTTGACACTGTACATACAGTGAGCACAAGAGAAATACATTCATCTCCTGCTGCTTTTAGCCAGAAAGACCCAGGAGCTCAAAGGACTCCAGTACAGCAGGGCTTTGAAAGGGCTGTGGCCAGGAGACTCCCACCCCACGCAGCTCGCCCCATGTGCTTGGATCCTTTCCTCAGTCCTCTGGAAAACAGCTCCATAAGAACTTTCATTCACCAAAGACCTGAGGGTAGGCGTGTGCAAGAGCAGCTTTATCGCAAACAGGCAACCCCATGTGGTGCAGGCGCCCTTTTCCAGGAAGCAGCCTGGTCCTTCCAGACCGAGTGTCAGCCCCCGAGAGGAGTAGAACTCACACACAGCACTTTGTGTGCTGTCAATCCCAAAAGGTTACATACCCTGTCGTGGATACACAGAAAATTCTGGAAATGAAAGGATTACAGAAGCAGGTGACAGGTTCATACTGGGTGAAGAAAGCTGTCAGAGGCTAAGGTTAGGACTCCAGCAAGGGGGGTCATTCTGCTCCCCACCTGCCAGCTGTGCCCTGCCCTGGGGGAGGCCAGCCTCAGCACGTGGGCTCCACCCTGCTATTTCTTATAGCTGCCAGTGACTATACCTCAAAATTAAAGTTTACATCAGTACACAAAAATTGCAGATGAGATGGGAGCAAAGGTCAAGGCCACAGCCCAGCCCTCCATGCACACAATCATCTGACCCAATCACTTCTCGTCCAGTAAACATTTCCTCAGCAACTTTCATTTGTCAGGCTCCACATTCGCACATGAGCTACTAAGGACTGCAGTGCTCCCACCCCCAGGAGCCCCAGAGCTGGTCTTCCACCCAGGCCCGTGAGGTGGCTCTGCCCCCAGTTCCTTCTCACCATCAGTCTCAGCTTGAACTCGTGGTCCTCCCTGAACATCGTGAGCTGGTGGCCACCCCACTACTGCACCTGTGTCCTGCAGGCATTGCCTGCGTGTGCAGAAGCAGCTCTGCTCTCCCCACATGGGAAAGCATCGAGTCTTGGACACAAGCATGGCTGGGCTACCCTGCTCAATGAACTGGAGGTCCTCCCCTGCACCCCCTAGAAACCACATAAGGTGTTTGGAGAAAAAAAGAAAAGCTGCTTGTCAAGGAGTGAAGAGCCCAAGCCCCTCCCGTAAAGATGGGCCTCCCAGGTAATGCTGGTTGAGATGGGCAGGGGAGAGAGCAGTCCCAAGAGCGGGATCCCATATCATAAGCAAAGGTGACCTGTAAGTGAGGGGTTCTCCTGCGGTGCCCCCTGGAAAGGCACTGCCCCCCGCCAAGTACTCCTGCTGGACAGCAGCCAGGCTCTAGAGGGCCCAGTAGGGACTAAACACCCCACAGCCAAGAGGAGACCCTGTTTCACAACATGTCTGACCCACACCTCCTACGCACACACCTTGTAGGTCTAAGTCAGGCGAAAATCCCTTCTATACATCAGAAAGTCCTAGAAGAGAGTGTGACAAGTGGCTTGTCTGCACTGGTTGCAGGAAAAGCCAGAGTCACCAAAGTTATCAAGAGACCAAATGAAAATCCAGGGAAAGACTCGGTGTGACCCCCACCTGCTTCTATCCTGGGGATATCTGAATATCTCGCACAAATAAATACCGTCAGTCCCAAAGAGGGAGCGTTTCTGGCCCCACACCTTTGCTTAAGTGCTTCCCATGCTGCTGAGGACCCCAGAACACCCCCATGCGGCCTCACGGGAACATGCCTTTCTGCCATGGCGGTGGATGAAGACACCACAGCCAGCCTGGTAAAGTCTGCAAAGCCAGGCCGGGCCCTGGGCACAGCGCACACCCTAGTCAGACCTGTGTGGTGACCAGAGTAAGGGGCCGACAGATGCCCAAATGGCAAGCTGTGTCAGCACCTCTTGAGAGCCCTCAGGATCCTGCTTTCTCCAGAGAACTTTTCAGGAATTCACCTCTCTGTGGTGAAGAAACATTTTTACACATGCTGTTTCACTTCAGTTTCCTTTTCTTCTCACAACCCAAGGAGGAAGGAGACTCCTGGCAAACAGCCACCGATGCCCCGGGGGCAGGCCCAGAAGTCAACTACAGCAGATCCTACTATGGGGGGGGGGGTAGGAGGGGACAGTATCCACATGCGAAGTTTTCATAGGAAATCAAGTCAGGAAGAGAAGAAAAGCCACCCAGCCCCAGTGATGCGTGCAGAGGCTGCTACCGAGAGGAATATTGGGTTGGAGGAGCCAGGAGACCCCGGCACCCCAAGAGCCAGTGGGTCCAGGCTGGCATGCAGCCCTTCAGGACACAGAGCCTCCTTGCTAATGGAGCCAACTGGACACCCCACAGGGGTAGCCCAGAGGTCCCCTCCAGCCCCTTATCCAGTGTGTATCCCTAATCCTGACAAAGTGAACATCTGTGGACTATGTTAGCAAATGGATGAACAATCTTAATAGTCCTAGAGGCCCTTGAAATCGAAGCGCAAAACCCAAGAGAAGGGGATGTGCGTGCAGAAGGCCCTTACTGCATGAGTCAGCATGCACACTTGCTTTAACAAAGCAAATGTCCTGTCAGGCAGATGAAGACTCTTCATCTGTGGCTCCCAATCTGTAACATCACCCATCTTCAATTCTGGCAGAGGAACTGAGGTCCCGCTGATGCCCAGAGTGTTTCTTGACCTCCCCAGCTAACCAACCCAACACAACTCTCTGAGCTCGGTCCAGCGGAGGCAGGCCCTGAGCGTGGGGGCTCATGCTCACCTCTGGGCCTCCTTGGTGGACTGCAGACTGTGGAGCTGATTCATCTACCTAGTCATTCATTCATCCAATAACGTGTTTTCTTGGAGCACTGTATATTCACAGAGAAGTCTGACTCATATAACTAGAGTAATTGTCCCAGGAAGACAACATTTGAGCTCATGCTCATCCTTCTGATGAGAACACTGAGCCCCCAAAGAGGAAATCTGTGTCTCCTCCACCCCCATGCCCAGCACCAAGGGCAGCACAGGCACAATGCCAGCCTCTGCCAACTCAGTCTGGAGGAATCTGGATCACTAGGGCCTCAGGCCATCAGTTAATTATTAAACACTTATAAGCTGTTCTGAGCTTCTTTAAATGTTAATAATAAATTGTAACAGTAACACGGTGAATTAATGCTTATTATTACAAACCACCAGATGTTGATGGGGAAAAGATGTGCACTCAGTAGGTGAAGTGTAAGGGGGAAATTTTAGAGCAAGAGGGCCCGAGCGGCGTACAGAGCTGGGCTGGCACACCCCCTGGGGAAAGCCAGCCCCCTTGCAGAGCACACCACGCATGAGCAAGGCTCTGAGCATGACGGCCGGGCTGGCACAAACCATGTGATAAAGAGAACATGTTCAAGACATGATTATCTCGCTGGAGTGCCCCACATCCACTCACTCCAAAAACACGTGCAGCCCCTCTGGGGCGCAAAAGACACTACTAAGAGACAGTGTGTGCTTGTGCCCTCAGGCGTCGCCACACGGAGACCACCATGTGTGCAGGCCCAGGAGAGGAACAGGCTTGGCTCTTTGGCATTGCAGAGTGTGGGGCAGCCCTGACCAGGACACCATCTGCTCTTCACAGTGATGGTTCAAGAGGAAGGAAAAGCAAAGCCAAGCAGAGGTGAACCCAAAGATTTAAATAAGACCAGTTACTGATGCTGATGTCTGTGACTATGAATATCTGCTGGGCACTGGCGCACACTTGGCACTGTGCCATTAACCCCTCAGTGTCATGAGATGTGTCCCTATTTCACTCAGGACAGAGATGATGCCATTCAGGGAGGCTTAGGGGGGACCAAGAGTTACACGTGCTGTACCGCTGCCAGGGTCTGTCTCTAGGCAAGTGACCACACAACCAGGTTCCAACTGTGCTGTGGGCCCCTCAGAGCCAAGTCAACT